CCCGACCTTGTATTGGCGCGTGAGGGCGCGTGAGAAGGTATTTTGGCTCCCGGTTTGTCCCGTTCGACTCCTTTTGACCTGTCCTACCAAAATTGGTCTATACTTATGTTGAAATTGATAAAATATGATAAAATATAGGTCTAATAGGAAGGAATTGTGTTGAAATACTATTAAACGTACATTCAAGGGGGAGAAAGGAGTTCGAAACCAAGTAAGTAGCGTATCGACCTTTGAACTAGTTCTTAACTTGTTTTACAACATGTGAGTATGTTGTTTACCTGATTAAGAGCTTAATAAGTTATGATGAGCTTTGATGATATTTAGTGTTTATTGTATATTGTGACTGCGTGCCTGTGATGTAAGCGTGATATAAACGATTGTCTGAATGTTTTACGTGTTGATCATGATACATGTATGAAAGCATGCAGTAACTGTGAGTATGTTATGCATGTTAATGGAAAGGTTATGACTCTAGATATGCTTATTGGTGGTTGAGCTATGGCTTATTTACTGAGTATGATAGTCTACTAATTCCCGCGGAGTTCCTGGCCAACGCGCTGTGTGCTAAGTCAGGGAGCATGAGTACTCCTGACCGTTGGTATATGAGATAAACAGGCCGCCAGAGCAATTAGTAGACGGGCCGTATTTGACCGAGAGCGAGTCTTACATACGAGTCCGAAAATTCTAGATAAGCATATCGAGAGAGAGTCAGTAACCTAGCTGGAGGTAGCTGAGATACCTCATTAACGAACAGATGACCCTAGTAAGAGAACTAGGAGTCAATGATGAATAAAACGTAAAAACACCTGGAAAGATTAGTTATGAGCCTGTGAATGATGAACTAGCTACTTACTGAGTATTCTAATTACTCATCAGAATTATTATAACTTTTCTTTCCAGATGTAGATGCTGCAGGCCAGCCGAGGACGAGACCAACGGGTTAGAGACTACTGGAAATCCATGTCTGGGTCTGTTTTGTAATTATGCTTTCGTTGTCAAGAATTTACCTTAGTCGTTTTAAGTTTTTTTTAAGTACTGTTTTTCGTTATTAAAATATTTTACGGATGTTTTTAGAAATATTTTTAATTTTATGATTGAGTATCAGAGTCTCTTAATATTGTCGATAGTAACTCCTGTTAATCGCGTTGGCGATGAGCGGGTGTTACAGCCTAGTATAAAGCGTCATTGGGAATTAGGAACCGAGCTTATTAAGAACAAGTTAGATACTAGAGTAAATTCATTACTCGTCAAAATTAGTACTCACAATCATTAGAGAAAAAAAAAAAGGAAGAACACCAGGAATTTGAGAGGATTAGGAAACTTGATTAAGATGATACCCAAAATTATCTCAACCTCAAGCTTAGAAATGAACGGGTTAATGGGGTTACCTCAATGGCCAGGGGATGATCCAAGGCCTCCAATTCACTCAGTTCACAGCTCCTCTGGCTCATCAGAGACCACTTTAAGTTTTGCTAATTGACATTGTTGGTCAAAATATGTTTTATTAATCATAAATATAAGAGAGACTAAATAAGTTCTTCTTTCATTGAAGAACAATTATAGAGATTTATGGACATAATATAGTATAAAAGATAAGGGGGGGAAGTACAGAGAGAATGTACACTTCCTTCTCTTATAACAACCCAACAACACAGCTTAACTGCAGTCTGTTCTCCAAGCTTCTCAAGCGATGCCCCAATAACATACACCTGTAGCAGTAAATTTCATCAAGTTAGATCCTCAGACAACTCGTTCCGGGATTCGAAGAACCTAAAACAAGTTTAAATGTCTAATTACGAACTTCTAGTAGCAAATGAGCTTGGAAGTTCTTAGTTTAGGCATCAGATCACTCAGGTTTAACTATGGTAAGTAAAGCTTTCCAAGAAGAAGGATTATAAACTGAAAGATAATATGAGGCCAACTAACCAAAATAAGAGCTTTGCTAGGTAATCCCGAGAAGTGCCTACAGTATCATAAAACTCATTGCCAGCATTGGCAAGTTTCTCCAAATCCGCCACGCTCGAGTCCTCAAAAAAAGTAGAGCTAGCATCATCTTTGAAAAACCTTTGCAATATGTTTCCAACAAGCTCATGGATGATTTCCTCCACCTCCGACGTAGATGGTTTGCTGAGTTCGGTCACCTAATAACAAACGTGGAGGTAAGAATGAGAGCTCCTAGAACGACGAAGTTAAACAGCTTGAGCACCAACCACACGGGCGTAGTTGCAAGTTGGAAAAATAAAGGCATATTATGGACATTAAAAGATGAAATACCATATTAGAATCCAAAGATCGCAGATACTCTAATAAATTGTTCCTATTTCCTCTTCCATGTTCCATCTGCATATTTTCTTGCTTCCGAGCATTTAGTTCCTGGCACATTCAGAACAAAATATAAGGGAAACCTCCCAATCTATTCTGAATGAAGTATACTAAAAGGAAAAAAAATGAAATTTACTTCATGAAAATAAACAATTAAACACTAGTTTATTTCACCTTAACGCTTCGAATGAAAATTAAAGAACATGAGCTGATAGCAGGTTAGGTCGGGCCACAAAGCTAAAATCTAAGCATGTACTACAAAACTTCATAGTCAATCTGATGGTGTTTTCGTTTACTAAATTGGAGTCTATATCTATGATGAATCACATCGCCTAACAGTATATTTTTCACCAAATTTATGACATTAAGCTACAAGCCCAGTAAACAACCAAGATAGAGATGGTGACGACGAACTCTACAAAATACAAGCTAATCACTGAAACTAAACTAAATTATTGAATCTAACTGCAAATGCTTCCATAATGTTGTAAAACTAGGTAAATAGCTGAAACGGAAGAGAAATATATAATACTTCAATTTCTCATACCCTCAATAATATAACAAATAGGAATATAGTAACATGGTAACTTCTTCTGGATGGATGAACTTTATATGAGCTTTCAGCTGGAGTGTTTGGCAAGAGAGGAATCGAAAACAAATCTTCCAAGATAAGGACCTTTCATTTCATAGTTGTTTTTTTATTTTATTTTATTTTTTTGACAATATAGTTATTCTGGTTCTTCACTTGTGTAAATCTTCTTGACTCTTTCATCACTATCATTATACCTTTCTTTCGAATTGGAGAGGTTTTACGTAATTCTTTGGGTGGGGGCTTTGTCCCTTTTGTAATTTCATACCATCAATGAAATTGTTTCTAATTAAAATAAGATAATATGGTAACTCCTCGTCCAACAAGTATGAATCATGATACAGGCACCACATAACATAGCTAATAGCATCAAACTATGAGGAGTTGTATCCAACTGACTTGGCATCTTAAAATAGTAAAAGAAACCCTTCATTTGTTAATTTTAGAAATAAAATCATGAGACAAATGAAAGGCTCTGCCCCAATTTAGGATACTGAATTTTCTTTACAGATTAGAAATGATTTTAAAAATTCAGTTCGTCAGATCATGGGCAGACAATGAAAGAATAAGTTGTTGTAAATTAGCAAGAGTGAAGATTGTTAACAACCAAGTGAATCCTTACATCTTTGAGATTCGATAATTCCGACTGCAACTGCTGGATATACTTCAACGCCTCGGGGGGTAAATCGGCTAAGAGACGAGGCCTCGTTGAATCCCAATCTTCCATATTGGAATCAATGCCAACCAGTGTCTCCTCATCGTCAGAAACATCCAGTGGTTTCGACCTGTCTAATCCCGTCAAACTATCCGGCGAGATATCGAAATTCCTCATCAAAGACAACCGATACTCCGCGTTCCACAGAGTGTACCTGGTGATAATTGACGAAGAGAGGAGGTTATGGAGAGAGCTTTTGAGTACAAAACATAAGCATCAACAACATCATCAAACTTCTATTAACGGAAAAGAATGAATCTAACTCATTACCCGGTGATAATTGACGAAGAGAGGAGGTTATGAAGAGAGCTTTTGCAAACCCTAACGGTGACAGCGAACTGATCAGACGGAAGCAAACCAAACATTGAAGAGATAGTCTGCTTCATCGAATCCTTCGCAGCATCAGTAACGCCCTTGGAGATATCGGAGGTGTCAAGCGGCTCAATCCGCTTAAGCATATTCGCGATTACGGAAAATCCGCGGTCGAATTTCAACTTCCGCGTCGAAACAAAGTCATCGGAAACTCCGCCACCATCAACACCGGAGATAAGGCAGCTCACAGTGGCGGCAGTAAAACGCCGCCGTTGAACGCCGAGATGTGAATAGGAAAATGAAGGCAAGGGCGGCGGCGGTAGAGGAGAGAGGCGAGGTTTGATAGAAAAATCAGTGACGCGAGATAGGAATACGAATCGAGCAGAGGCCGCCATGGGAAGGAAAGCAAAAAGCTTCGAAGATCCCTTCAATGGTCCTCGCTCGATTTTGTGGACTGGCTGCTCTCGAGAAGCTTCAATCAATCAAACTCCCGTTCTATTCCAACCTCGGGGCGTTGCTTTTGGAACCTTTTAAATACGTGAATTCAATACGCGGCTTTAGTTGTGTTTTTTTTTTTTTTCCTTCAAACAAAAAAAACGAGGGAAAAAATAAGGGTGGACGGTTGGTGGGAATATTTATTCATGAGCTGTAAAAAACATGGAGAAAATGGGCATGAATTTCTCAAATACATCCATATGTTTGGTTCGGCTTCGGATCACTTTGATCAATGTAAAGTACATATCAATCAACCTTACTTCAGTTTGGATCGGCTTAGAGTACATGTCAATTAATCGAAGTTTGGTTCAGATTGATTGTGCATATTAATTAACCTAAGTTCGATTCGGGTCGATTTAGACTACATGTTAATTAACCTGAGTTTGGTTCTAATTAGGTCGATTTAGACTACATGTTAATTAACTTGAGTTTGGTTCTGATTAGGTCGATTTAGATTACATATTGAGTTCAGTTTGGGTCAATTTAGAGTACAAATCAATTAACTTGAAATTGATTCGAATCCGTTTAGAGTATATGTCAGTTATCTATTTACAAACAATCAAGCCCCTCTTATAAAGATTTCGAGTACAAACCAGTTTGGGTCGATTTCGAGTCGGTCTAAAGAAACTCGACAATCAAGCCCCTCTTATGAAGATTTAAAAAAGGCAACTTGTTTAAGGCTAGCCCTTTGAAAGAACCCCTCAAGAACACATAATATGGAGATAAAATCAAGTCGTGAAAAGATAATATGGTGTAGATAGCAGCAAAAAGCGACAAATAATATGGTAAGTTGAGTTCGTGGTCACATACCAAGTCTCAAACAAATAATATGGTAAGTTGAATTTTGTTAATTTTGTAGGTAACAAATAATTTAACCATTTATATCGAATAAATGATAAAACTGATTCATTCAATCAAGCACAAGAAATTGAATTAATTTGTTTCTTCACGTTATTCTCTTTTCTAAAAAAAAATTATCTAAGTTTAATATAAATATTTTCCTTACAAAAAAAAATTAAAAAAAAAAGTTATAACTTTTTAATCTCGATATGAGAGGTTGCCATAGTGAATAAACATGAAAATACAAACATGTACAAATTAAAATGGTTTGTTAGGGAGCTCACAAGAAGAGACAACTCGATAGACAAGAAAAACCGCCTTCCTTTTTGTATTCCCTTCAACTCTTACACGAAGGTGAAGGTAAAGAGAAGAAAAAATGTTTAAAGAAAAACATTACGTTCGTTTGAATTATTTATATGGATATTTAAATAATTTAATACTAAATATTCTTTTATTTCTACGGACAGGTTTAAGAATTATATATATATATATACTTTTTTTTTTATTATTTTTTTGGTAGGAAAATTAACTATTTAAATGAACAATATCCATGACAATTAACTATTTAATTAAAAATTAATGGATTTTCTATGAAAAGTTAACAAACCCGAAAGTTTATTGAAAAAATTATTTGATTCAATTGAAATTAAGAAAAGAAAAAAAAAACAAACAAAAGAGGGAATAATTCTAGAAAGTCTAATTCTAAGGAATTTCGTGTCACAAAATTTATTTAGGAATTTCGTACGAATGAAGATTAAAATGGAGTTAGAGACATTCTTAACCGCTACATTACACCATCTCATAACCATAAATAAATAAAAAAAAAAAACATATACTATGAACGGTCTTATTATAAGGTAGCCACCCTAGGTTGGCTAGCAGGCTTAGAGAGAATAAGTTTGAGTCATTGCAGCGGCCTACAAAGAAATTTAATATCTTACAAGTTATCTACCAACTAAAAGTAATAGGGTCGGGTGGTTGCCTCGTTAGAATAGTCGGCTTTTCTCAATACATGCACCAACAGGGGTAATCATGTGATTCAGGATCTTACAACGTGAAGCATCAAGCCGATTCAAATTTTTGAAGCATATCCTTCTGGTGTGTTAAGAGTATATGAAATTCCAGCCTCTCTGTTCTTCAAAGTATTCTCATTCTAAATTTGAGCCACTTGAAGCCAGAATAGCTGAACATACCACGAGTACATTCCCATCAAATAATCAACTTATACCCCAAACTTCAACACTTCTTACACACACAAACACCAAAAGCACTTGAATATATAGACTATCTACAGCACACATATTAGCCTCTACAGGTTAGAACTAGAAGATCATATGTTTGGTGTATAAAACTCCTAATATTCAATCCTGGATGGAAAAATGCTGAAGATTTCATTTTCATTTGAACTTTAGAACATGCGGTGCGTATAATTCACCTAGTTTAGAAGAGGATGTATTTATATCCTTGTTAATGTAACAGCCCAAGTCCACCGCTAGGAGATATTGTCCTTTTAAAGCTTACCCTCAAGGTTTTTAAAATACTGCTACGGAGAGGTTTCCACACCCTTATAAAAAATGCTTCATTCCCCTCTCCAACCGATGTGGGATCTCACAATCCACCCCCCTTCGGTGTCCAACGACCTCTCGCTGACACTCGTTCCCCTCGCCAATTGATGTGGGATCTCACAATCAACCCCCGTTCAAGGCTCAGTGTCCTCGCTAGCACTCATTCCTCTTTCTAATTGATGTGGGATCTCACAATTGATTTCCCTACAAGAGACCAAATCCCAATGAAGATAATTGTACAATTTGAAATCATAAAATCCCAAAGGCCCTCTGGAGATAAGAGCAATATTAAGTTTAATGTAGAACTCAAATAGAGTCAGCATGACGCATATGAAAAGCAATAATTCATTATGTCTTGCAAATTTATCAACAAGCTACACATAAATTTAACCTATAAGCTTAAGCTTAAGCTTCTGCTAACTTCCAAGTCTTTGGAGTGCTAAGAATCTACAAAAATATTAGATGAACCTAACCTACCTACTTAAGCTTTGGGACTAGGGGTGATTTAACTCTAGGCCACCTTTTCTAAACAGAAGTTTGATTGCTTTTCATTATTCCTTTAAAGGTATAGGCAACAGAATACAATTCTACCCGTCGATCAATGAAAAGGAAAGCCAGAACCAGAGAATATTTAATAAAACCAGAAAATATTACTCATGCTCACCACCAAAATCTGATTAAGAAGTTATGTAAACACGCAATGATAGTACAAGGACTGTGAACTAAATACAGGAAATTGTTTAACAATATTGAACAACATGCTCCAGACAAGACGAATAACATAATGAAAAGATAGAGACTAACAATGAATAACCTAAGGCTCAACTTTAGTAACTTGCTGCCATTTACCATCGACTGCTTCTTTCCACAATGTAACAGTGTTATTCCCATCAGCAACAGCCAATAAGTCTCCGGTCAATGACCATGAAACCTTCCAGATTGGAGTCTTAAAATCATTCATCACTATGCCTTCCCATTTCCCTCCTTCCTTTGCAACAGACCAAATAATCACTGTCCCATCCTGGGAACCACTTGCTATGGTGGATTTTTGAAGGCCTAGGTTTGGCGACCAAGCCACGTCCCTTACCCAATCAGTGTGCATCTGAAGGGCAGGGGAGGAGTCCCTCCTCCAGCTTCCATCTTTTAGCGTCCACACTTTCACCGTACTATCGAAACCCCCAGAAGCTAGCTTCCAAACAGGGTCCACTGAACTGGATCCAATTAAGGAACCTGGAGCCGTCGTAGGGCCCCATGAAACTGAGGTTACTCCAACAGAGTGGGCTTGTTCAATTTGATTATTGTCCCAGCCACCATCAGATCGAGCAATAAAGACTGATATACTCCCATCAGATGATCCACAGGCCAAGCAGAGGCCAAGTTCATGGGGTGCCCAGGCAATGGAGTTCACCGAAGACTTATGTGCATTGAAAACATGAGCCTGTACCCATTGATTTTGATTTCCTTCCTTCCATATTATCACTTGACCATCGTAAGAGCTGGAAGCTAACAATGAACCAAACTTTGGGTGTGCCCAAGCAACTTGCCAAACTGGGCCTTTATGACCACTCAATGAGGCTAAGAGTTGTGAATCAGAGTTTTTGCTAACACTAATAATTTTAATGGTAAAATCAGAGGAAGCTGTTGCTATGCGTTTTCCATAGTAATCCATTTGTACATCATGAACCATATCTTGGTGGCCAGTTTCAATCTTGTGTGAAGACATTGTACAGGATTTCGTTTCACTCTATTAATTCCTTTTACCCTTCTCCTCCAACCTCTAGAAAGTATCCTTATATGTTTATCTATGATAGAAAAAGAATTTATATAAAAAAACTATGCAAAATCGATTCAACTTCAGGAAATAAATTAGAAGGAAGGTTCCATCAATAAAAAAGAAAAGCCAACATAATCAATAATCACATCCATAGAGTCCGAAACAACCAATTAAGAGGCGCTTCTTTACCCATTCTTCATTTTTAAGTTCGCTTGTTAACAGTGGCTACTGCAGATCTAGCGAAAACAACTCAAATGATGAATGATGAATGATGCTTGCAAGCAAATACTAAAGATGAAATGTCCAGCACTTTGTTGCAAAAGCCTCATGCGTTGGTGACATATTTACACACAAACAATAACAAAAGCCTCATGCGCTCGCTCAGAACACAGATTCATTTATAGATCGAACATTATTGACATGGATAGAGACAGAATCACTCGATTTAAGCTAAAGTGTTAACGAAATGAACAGGCTCAAAGGTTCTACAAGCAGCGGAAATCAAAATAGAAGCAGATCTGGAAATTGGCAACAGATGATAAATCAAACAGCATAGAGCAAAATTCAGCATTAATCGGAAGAACATGGGATTTGAATTACCGTAGAGATAGTCGGATAGTAGAGCCCCGAGTAAAAAAAATCGCCGGGGCAGAACCAGAGTTCGGCCGCCGATCTGCTTGTTGAGGTCCGCTTCCTCGTGGAGTGTTCTGGTTGCAAGCGGCTGACCTCGCAATATATCAGATACTGACGCAAACAAGACAACCGGTCAGCAATTGGACGGTTTTCCTTTTCCTTTTTCAACCCTTTTTTTTTTTTCATTGAATGTGTTAAATTAATAAAAAT